CCCAGAGTATATAAGGAACTCTTAACTCAAAAACAAGACCACAAATGTTTAATTTTAATAATGTGACAAAACCCTGAGGAAATACCTCAAAAAAGAATATAATATATACAGATGTCAAATAAGCATATGAAAAGATTCCAGGTCGTGGATTACCAGGAAAATGCAAACCAGAACACGGAGATGCCACTACCCACGTCTGAGAAGCAGCCATACTCCATGTCAATGACAATGCAGAATACGGTCAAAGATGCAGAGCATCCTCACTCACAGTGGGAGTGAAAACAGCACAGCACATCGGAGGCAGTTTCGCAGTTTCCTATAATACAAACATGCACACTCTTACCATACAGTTGAGAAATTGTGTTTCTTGGTATTTACCGAAAGGAATTGAAAATTTTCATTCACACACTGATGTTAACAATGGCTGTATTTGTAATTGCCCAAACTTGGGAGCAATTCCTTCAGTAGCTGGAAAAGTATGATACATCTAGATAGTGGAATATTAGTCAGTGCTATAAAATGAGCTTCCAAGTGTTAAAAAGATATGGGGCAAACTTAAATGCATATTACTAAGTGAAAGAAGCCAATCTTAAAAGTTTATGCACTGTATCACTCCAACTATATGACCTTACTAGAGCCAATAAAAATAATCTGTGGTTACCAGGGATTAAGAGGAGGGAGGGATGCATTGGTGGAAGAACAGAGGATTTTTTTAAAAACCCTTTTTATTAGCATATATTAGTTGTACAGCAGTTTCATTATGACATTTCCATATATGCTTACAATATACAGTGGTTAGGTTCATCCCAAACATCATTCTCCCTCATTCCCCTCCCCTCTTCTTAAAATGATTTCAACAGGTTTCATTGTTTTATTTTTATACAAGTATGTAAAGTACATCAACCATCTTCACCTTTCTTCACCTTCTCCATTCACCCTCTTCCCCTCCCACTACTACCCACCTCTTTACAGGACCAATTTTACAAGTCCATCCTTCATTTTTTAAGTGTATAGTCATTGTTCAAAGGGGATTCACCATGATATTTCACCTGTGACTACACTGGACTTCAATCAGATCAACCCCTTTAATTACTCTCTTACCCTTCCCTCTTCCTAGCTATTATTCAACAGCTCTCAGTGCATTTCCTTGTGCCATCACTCCACACAGATCCAATGTATTTCAGTATTATTCACTCTATCATTCTCTTTTCCTCTTAGCACAGAGGATTTTTAAGGCAGTGAAACTACTCTAAATCACATGATAATGGTGGATGCTACTCATTATATATTTGTCTAAACCCATGGAACACCCAGCATCAAGAGTGAACCTCAATGTAAACCATATGGGTGATTACGATGTGTCAATGAAGATTCATCAGCTGCAGCAAATATATCTCTCTGGCATGGGATATTGTAAAAGGAAAACAATGGGAGTGGGTAAAGAGTATAGGGGAAATCTCTTATCTTCTGCCAAATTTGCTGTGAATATAGAGCTGCTCTAAATATAAAGCCATTTTCAAAATGAACATGGCAGCTTCTTACGTGCTAAAGTGATATAATCCTTGCATCTTATTGTTCAGAATTTACTCACATTTAGATGCAAGCATGGCTGGAAAATGTATTACTGTAGCTGGATAAATTGCCATGCACTGGAGCCTTAAATATCGTGACACATTGCCTCGCCAGCGTCCAAGTCTCTGGCTTCCAGAAGTCAGTTTGGACCAAACATCCGGGGCTCTCCTTTTTAGATCCCTAGCTCACTGTGCCTGTCTTTCTTGCTCCTAGGCATCTCGCTCACTCAGGCCCATGTCTTGCTTACTCTTCCTATGAAGAAAACTGGCACCAGCTTCAGCGGACTGGAGCCCATGAGGGACATGACAACTAGAGTGAAGAAGGGTGATGAAGATGGGCTAGGCAGAGGCAGTCTCTGCCACAGATCACCACTTCAGCTACTGGATATCCTCTACACTCTTCTTCCCAAACAGAAGCGGTCTCATCCTTCCCAAAGACCATATCCCCAAAATTTATTTTGGAGTTTCTGACTCAATGAGGTCTGGATGTGTTTCTTTGTAAATGTCCCATAAACTTAAAAGAATCTTCAACTTCCAAAGTCACCCAATATACAACAGTACAATGGGTACTGGGTATCCACGATGAAAACTCCCAATGAAGGAAAGAAAAATGGAGAGGATGTAGCAGGTATGATTTTGTTGGGATTCACTAAGTCCAGAGGGCAAGAATAATGAGAATTCTTTCTTAATTTTTTCTTTTTCTTTCTTTCTTTCTTTGTCTGTGTCTCCCTCCTTCCCTTCCTTCCTTCCTTCTTTCCTTCCTTCCTTCTTTCCTCTCTTTCCTTCCTCCCTATATCCCTCCTTTCTTTCTCTCTCTGTCTTTTACTTAGCATGTATCAGTTGTTCAAAGTAAAGGGTTTCATTATATTTCTGAACATGTATGTAATGTAACTGATCATAGTCACCCTGTCTATTACTTTTTCCTATCCCCTCCCCCTTTTACCTTCCCCTCCACCTCTCCAGGGGTTCCTCCTTTAACTTTCATGACCTTGATTTTTGCTATTGTTGATTGGTTGGTTTTCCTGTAGCTTCCACAAATGAGAGAAAACCTGATACTTTCTGTCAGGCCAGCTTAGTTCACTTAACATGATCTCTATTTCCATCCATTTTCCAGCAAAGGACATCATTTCATTCTTTTTTTATGGACATTGTGTATGTGGAATACATTTTATTTATTTATCTATAATCCATTAATAGGCACCTATACTGATTTCATAATTTAGCTATTGTGAATAGTGCCACAGTAAACATGGGTGACTCTCTTGAGTCTATGCCCAGAATTGGTGTGGCTGGATCATGTCAAAGTTCTGATTTTGATTTCTTGATGAACCTCCATAGGAGGAAATTGCATAATTAGTCATTGTGGAAGCATGGGTTTTTTCTAACCTAGGACTTGTAAAAAACTGTTTTTCATCACTTTCCTCTTGCATTTCCCTCAAACCTTCCCCTTATTTTTCTAGGGTCACATCTTAGTTGGGCATTAAAGAAGATACACTTAGGAACTTGACAGCAAATATGAGTCAGAAATGCAAATGAAATGGGTAAACTGCTCTATATTAGAAATCCAAAGGACTTTTAGGGTGATGTGAGGGAAGGGAGATAGATGACGAACAAAGGGGAGGTGTATGATGGGGGACTTCTGATATCATGACTGCCTAACATTCATTTTTAGATAATTATTTTGCCAATACATTGGGGAGTGTATTTCTTTTTTAAATTTTTGTTTTTTATCAGCATATAATAATTGTACAAGAGGATACATTGTGATATTTACATATATGTTTACAATGTATCTTAGATTTACCCCCTGTCTTGTTCCCCCTCTATCCTCCTTTCCCCTTCTTAGAACAATTTCAACAGGTTTTATTATTGTATTTTCATATATGCACCCACCATGTTCACCTTCATTCCTCCTTTCCTTCATTTTTTAAAAGAGTATATATTGATGATCCAAAGGGGTTTTACCTTGGCACTGTTTATATTGTGCTTTAATCAAATTAACCCTCCCATTACTGACTCATTTTCACCATACTGCCCTAAACCTAACAACTTATAGTACAACATACTATACTGTATTCATATATGGATGGGTTGCTTCAATATTTTTCATTGTCTAACATTTTCTTTACCTCTCCTATCTCCTGTAGTCCCCTCAGACAGACTCACTAATACAGTTTTGGGAAGGGGGGTGTGTTTCACAATGAAGGTTCATCTGTGAGCAGTTATTTGCAGAAAGCAAAGGAAAGGGCTGAGTACTGATGTGCGTTGATTTATTTCAAAACCAAAGTCATTGAGCAACGTTTAACCAGAACACTTTACTTGAAGCAGAAGCTCAAAACCAGAGGTATTCATGAAAATGTTAGCCACATGGGAACTTATAAATACTGTGTGCATGAGGGCAGGAGTTTACCGGACCTGGCCTTGTTTGAGTCATAAGGGTTGGAGACCATTTTAATCAGAGATTGAAGATTCTCAACTGACACTTAGGTGATACTATTGTTTATAGATTCATTGATTGAATTTTTATCTATTCATTAATTCAGTAAGGATAATGGTCACTATTTTACATATAGGGGATGAGGCTCCATCAGTGCATGACACAGAGCAAAATCTCTGCCTTCTTATATCCCAGATTCTCGTTATTTGAAGTAGAGGGTCAGGGCATTAGAGTGTTACTGTTGTTCCTGTAGCGGGAGGGGTCTCTCCTCCACCAGATCTTGACAGCCAGCACCAGGTTTACTTTCTGTATGGTCTGCTGGTATTCTCTGCTGCCAGCCTCTGCTGCCCCTCACTGCTGTAGTCAGTTTCACTCAGGTCACTCAGCTTTTCAGCCTTCCTGCTGTCCTGCTGTCAGAGCAGTTTCCTCCCTGCCAGGGCTATTGCTTCTTTTCTTTTTCTTGATGTTATTAGCTCAGCAAAGGTGGGAAAGCCCACTAGACAAAAAACCTTTATTGAGATCTGATGTGTAACACCCAGAGGGGCAGCAAGGAGGAGGTTTCCCAGCTGCTCACAAGCAGCCTGCTTATGTAGCCAGACAAGGGAGGGGTCAAGGGTGCGTTTGCACCAATTATTACAGCCCATTGTACAAAAGAAGGATTGTGTTTGCACCAATCACAGTTCTTCTGTTTGGCCAAAGTTTCCCCCCATTGTGGGTAGAGATTGTTTTTGATCTTTTGTTGGAATAAAGCACCTTTCAAAAGGGTGTTTACAACAAAGGGTTATCAGTAATACTAGTTTAATAATATTTAGCCCCCAAAGTTTTCAAAAAGGTGATTATTAAAAAGGCTTATCAGTAATAGTATTTTAATGATATTTAACAGTACAGCAACAATGATTAACTCTGTCCCATTGTCCTAAGAGAGGTGGGTACCTACACCTGTTGATAGGGTAAGATAAGGCAGAGCTCAAAAGCACTCCCCAGACTCCTCCTCATATTGCCTGTAACTCAGCCTCTGCAGGATGTGAAGCAGAGTTGGCTCCTGTGTCACCATTCTGGGTTGAGTCCTCACTCAGGGCCCTCTCCAAACTGGTAGGCAGAGAGTGGATCAATCTCCCCCAGAGGTCCTGGCCCACAAAAACATAGAGGATTGGGTTGAGGCAGCTGTTGAAGAAAGCCAGGTACTTTGTTGGGTTGACCAGCAGATCGAAGATCTTGTACTTACCATAGAACAGTGTCTCTTTGGGCCAAATCATGTATAAAAGGGCGATCAGTTGTAAAGAGAACCAACAGATGAAGAAGAAAACCACAACAGCAATGAGGCCCTGTAAGGGACAATTGGAATTAATCACGCCTTTTCTGCAAATCTTAGCAGCAATGAGCCCATAGCAGATGGCGACAATAGACATGGGCATGCTAAAGCCAATAATGAACCAAATGATCCCTCCAACTGTCAACATGGTGACTGCCATCTCCAACCCCTATAGTATTACCCCAGGATGCAAAGGTGAAAGCACAGTACACATCCCCTCTTGGACTATGTACTATAGTCAAGAAGATGAAACATGGCAAGGTAAGGATTAGGGCAAGAATCCAGGGTCCAGTGATTACCTTCCTGGCTAGACTAATAGTGCAGTGATTCTGGGCCCAGACTGGATGCAGGACACAAATACAGCTGTCCAGAGCAATGGCAGCAATCAGGAAGACACTTCCAAACAAGTTTATGTCCACCACAATATGAACTGACTTGCAGAGGACCCAGCAAAAAGTCCATTTTTCTTTCATGGCCAGTGAGACAATGAGGAATGGTAGGGTAGCAGTGAAAGAGAAGTCAGCTAAGGCCAGATGTAGGTAACAGAGGGTGGTAACAGTGTGTGTCATCCGGAAGCCAGTCACCCCGAACACAAGCCCATTGCCCAGCACAATGAGGACTAAGGTGACTGAAAGTACCACCATTGAGAGGATCCACAGAACAGTGTGGCTGGTAGACTCGTTGACCACCTCTTCAGATCCATTCAGAGGGATGGAGAAGTTGGCTTCCATGCTGCCCGCACTTAAAACATTTCAACAATGGCCATTTCTCCAGTGTGGATTCATTTTACAGTATCCCCATAGTTCCTGCCACTATGGCTCCTCCTCCAACCATGGAACACACTCTGCTAAGCCTTGTGGCCAGTAGAACCACAAAATTGGCACTCTCTTTCATATTGTTTTGGGAAAAGATAGCTCTCTATAGTCTCACAACTATTAATATGCATTCTTCCCCACAGACTGATAACATTAAAAAAGGGATTATAAAATCCTGTCCCTGCAGAAATACTAAGCTGAGAGTGTACAGACAACAGAAGAGAAGGTGGAGGCAGCTTCAGCAAGATGAAGAAAGCAACAGACTCAAGTGAGTAGGTTCAAATCTGTTTCCACACATAACTTGATGCAAAAAAGCTGCCAGCTTTTATATCTTCTTTCAGCTCCAGATTCACACAGTCTTCCACCTCCTGCCCCTCCCCACTATAAGAGGCCTTGACTTATTGTTTGGTTAGTGTTTTGGTCGAAGGGTTTGGCTTGCATTTGGAGTCTAAGAGGATTTTGAACAGTTCCTGGCAGTATGTGGTGATATGTTCCATCTTGTAGATTCTGTGTGAAAGGAAGTCAGTGAAGCAGTCCCCATATCTCTACTTTCAACCCAATTCTTTTCATTATTCCTATGTGTTATGAAACCCTTTTCTACTTGGGATGCAAAGAATTTGCACCCATTGTAGTTTTAATGCTCTTTAGGATTAAAAAGTATGAGATTAATAAGTTTTGTTAATATTTATGGGGTTTTCATTAAAGATCATGCATTGTGTTAATAACTACACATGGGATCCTATTTGATCTACATAATGTTTGTTACTTCTAGTTTTCATAAAAATAAATTGATGTTCAGAGCAATTATAAAACCTGCTGAAGGCTGGTTTCAAATAGTAGAGAAAGGATTTCAATACTGCCTGGTCTGACTTCTAGCTCCTTCTTCCACTATATCACTTGTGACAGATGTTGCAAATTGCCCACCTAAAATCCATTTTTGCCTGTTTTTCTCTGATAACCAAACTATAATTTTGTTCAATCTTTCTATCTTTGAGTGTAAATCTTAATTAGTCTAACTAGTACAAGGAGTCCTTTTTGCTTTATAAGGTATGGACACATGACTGAATTGTGAATGATAAAACTTTGGGATAGTATCCTGGAAATGATTTTCTGGTTGTAAATCCAGAAGAATGTAGTCCTGACTCTGGGCTGGGTCATATCTGTAACTTCTGCATTCCGTTCAACCAAGAGGTCTCTGTGACCTCTGTGTCTAGGAAACTTGATGTCATTTCCTTATTCTGTGGTCTGTGGAATATATCAGACATTCAAGGTGTCTGTGGAACATGCATATTTATAAACCCTGCCTTCGAATCTCTGCATAAAAACTAGGGTGATTTTTCATGGCCACAAAAACTTGAACATCATTAATGCTATAGGTCTTCCTGTCTCTTTAAGAGAAATAGCAGACTGGCAGAATGGCTCAAGTGCCTGCCCAGCAAGTGTGAGACCCTGAGTTCAAACCCCAGTGAGAGAGAGAGAGAGAGATTACTGCACACGTTTTCACACTTAATTCTTATATTGCATGCAGCCATCAACATCCCTCCTTTACTAGCAGAATCCATAGCTAAGGGGTTTTCTTCATTCCTTCAACGGCATTTCCAGCCAGTCAGTGGTGGCAGCAAGATTGGAAATCAGATTTAAACAATTCCGGAGTGACTGCCTTTGCTGGTCTCAGGTGCTGCCTTTGAAAGGGGTTCCCAGGATTGCATGGGTATGGTCATGACATTTGGTATGACAACATTCCTCTTATTTTCCGCTCTCAATTCCTCTTTTTATTGTCTTCATCAGTCACTTTCACTGAGGTCCTTTGTGGGATGCTATGTAATGGTAGCTCAGGGTTTCTCAACCTCAGTCCTACTGACAGTTAGGGTGGATAATTTTTTGTCCTGGGGTCTGTCCTGTGCCTCTACCCATCAGATGCCCGTAGCAACCCTCCTCCAGTGATGACAGCCAAAGATGTCTATAGACATTTTCAAATGTCCCCTAGGAGGCAAAATTGCCACCAGTCAAAAGTCACTGTTGTAACACGATGACTACTGGGCTCTAGAATCAGACAAATCTCTATTCTAATCACTTTTCTGATTAGAAATGTGATCAATGTGAATGCTTGATCAGTGTCATCCCTTTGCATCTCCATTTTCTCCTCTGTAGAATAGAGTGGCTTTATGTTGATGACTGACTTTCAGGTGAGGATTAAATAAGAACAGACATAAAAATATAGGCAAGACTGAGTCTAAAAAAATGTTCTAATGTCCTCACTATTCTCTATGCTGTGTCCTGGGGCTCAGTTCTGGGATGTGAATTGTGGAAACTCAAGGTCAGTCAAGGACATGGCCATAACAGTAGTGGCTAAATTTATGAATATCATCCAGATTGAATGGCTTCTTTGACCTTCCCAACTCATCTCAGTGACTATTGCAGATTGCATGTGTCAATGTGTGAAAGCACTGAATACACTTAGAGATGTTGTAAGTATTGAATAACGTTAGTCATAATTAATGTAACCATTTTAAAGATGAGGGATTCAACATGTATACTGGTTGCCTAGGTTGTTTAAAGCTCCCAGAAAGAGGTAGGTGTTAGATTTGAGCACAACCTGTCTGATTCCACCAGCATTATGCCCTTAACCCTCTCCAACCTCATACATCCCCCAACAAAGTCAGGTTTTCTCTTCTCACACTCCAAACATCTTACACTTAGAAGATAAGATGTACTCAATAATTTCTAGACTGTTGATTTTATGATGTTGGTATAACAAGGAAAGACAATGACAGATGGGCCAGGCCCACAAGGCAAAGTTGCACAATTGTGGTTCCGACCTAGTTGCAGGATGGAAGAGAGAACTGTGAGCTACAGAAGATTCCTGTGCTGATTACAATGGCCCCTATGGCATGAGACCCTGGCATTGCCAGTCATCTCTAATTACCGCATCCTTATTTTGGACAAACATCAACATTGTGTAACGCAAGAAAAAACAATGGCTCAGAGCAAGGAAGTGACTTGCCCAGTGTCTCAACTATTAAAGGATGCAATTGAATTTTATGGTCATAGGTTTCAAATAGAAGCAGATCTCGCTTGCTAATTCACTCTAGTTTTAAACATGTTCACTTCCCCAGCGTTAGTTAAAAGAACTATTTCACACTTCTTCTTTCTCATCTTCTATTTCTACCCTCAGTCTATGCTCTTGACTGACATATTACTGAGAAAATGGTAACAACTAGATGTGAATTTCTTCATTTTCCAGCCTCAATTGTCCATTCAACCTGTATCTGTTACTGTGAGAAGAATTCTCATTCATTTCAAATATGGCCCTTCTCACACTGACTCTGGATACTTCTCTGTTTCACCCTAACAGAAACTTGCCTCCTGCATTTCTCCTTCTATTTTATGCAAAAAAAAAAAAGAAAAAGAAAAACCCAAGATCTACTTTCTATTAGATAATTCTTATTATTACATAAACATTATTGTATCTTCTCCTTTTATAAAGAAACCATTCTTGGCCTCTGTTCCTTTCCAACTTCAGCCTTATTTCTCTGAAGAGACTTCTTTTGTGAAAAGAATTTGCAACCAGACTTTAGAAAGAGGCATCTCTAACTTCTCTCTCCACTTCCTCATTCACAGTTTCTCTGTATTGGCTCTGTTGACTCCAGTCTTTAGGGTTGTACCAAATGTCCCCTCAATGATACTTATGACTCCATGCTGCTAATCCAATGGTCCCTTCCCAGTTCTTCTCCTGATAACTCTGTGACACAGGACCTGTTACAACTCTCCTTTCTTGCTGAGTCACTCTTTTCTTATGCCCTAAGATTGATAAAATGTATACACAACACATTCTTTGTTGTCTTAATAGCTCAATTGGCCACCTTATTTTCAGTGCAATGTACATCTTTCTATTCTCTAAATTTGGGTCTAAATGTTGGGATTGTTCAAGCTCTCTTACCTCCATCTTCTCTGTGTGAACCCCAGAAGATGAGCCAGTCTCATGGCTTAAAATATCATAATGATAACTTCTTTTTTGTGTGTGGCAGTGCAGATTGAACCCAGAGCCTTGTACGTGCTAGGCAAGTGTCCTGCCACTGAATTATGCCCTCACCCCCTTCTAATATAAGTCATTAGCTGTGGCATATCTCCAGATCTCTACCCTGATGTGATCAACTCACTTCTTGACACCTCCCTATGGGAGTTCCAGCAGCACCCAAGACTAATATTGCCCAAACCAGACTCTTGGATGACCAATTCTCCCAATCCTGCCATTCTTCCAATAATCTACATCTATTTGGAATTTATATATTTAATTGTAAAGCTCCAACCAAATATGGAATTTATCTTTGACTTCCTTTTCCTTAATCCTCCATTCCCAGCTGAGTCCTATTGAACCTATTAAACACGCAGCCAAAATCATCATCCTGATGCCCTGTTTGTAGTCTTCATATTTTCACTAACTTTGCAAATATCTTGTTCCCGGACCTGCTGCTCCTCCCCTAAAATTCATTCTTGAGACAGAAGCCAAATGATCTTTTAAAAGGACAAATATGGTCATTACATTAAAATCAGGCATAGTGGTGCATCCCTATAGTCTCAGCTATTCAGGAGGCTGAGGCACTAGGATCACTTAAACCCGTGAATTCAAAGCCAGTATGAGCAATATAGTGAGACCTTGTCTCAAAAAAATTCTTTGTAAAGAAGATCATGTTGTTATTCTGTTCAACACCCTGATAACTTCCAACCTCCTAACTCTTAGTTACCAGGCAGCCCTGGATCTGCCCTTTGTCCACTCAGTTCTTACACGTCATGCTCAATTTACACTCGTGTTCCTGATTCCCTAAATTCACAAGCTCATTGCCATCTCTGGGACTTTGCATTCTCTGTTCCTTTCTGTTCTTAATGTTCTTTCTTCTAGCTTCCCTCACTAGGAGCTTTCTGAATACATTTCATCGTAAATATTACGTCCTCACATGTAAAACTGCCTGAGTCCCCAGACTCAGCCTGTCTTACCAGATACTTTGTTTATTTATCCATTCGTTTCTTTTCCATCCTAAAAACTCTTTGAAATAGTATGTTAACTCCCGAAGATTACCAAGTTCATTCAGTGTTGTGTCTCCCAAGTATTGCTATCTAATAGAAATGTGACATGAGTCAAAAGCACAAGCCACACATGTGACTTACAATTTGGGAAGAGGTGCATTTTGAGGCAGGGTCTCACTCTGTATCCCAGACTGGTGTGGAATTTGCTGTGTAGTACAGGCTGACCTTGAACTTGAAATCCTCATACCTCTACTTCCAAAGTATGGTGTGTGTCACCATACGTAGTCACCAACTTACAATTTTTTAGTAAGCTATGTTAAAAAAAAAGTTTAAAACTCTGGGGAAATTAATCTTAATAATATATCTTATTTAAATCAACATGTCTCCACTAATATAATTGGAACATGTACCCAAAATAAAAGTTATTCATGAGAATAGTTTAAGTATTTTTTCATACTCAGCCTTTGAAAATACCTAGTACATTTTGCACTCAGCACATTCAAGGTTAAGAACTCAGCAACCATGGAGGGCAGACAGGGGCTAACACTGGCCAGCTCTGCGCAGGAGGCTAGGAGGCGTCTGTTATACACCAGGAATTTAGATAACAGTTTTTATTTTGTCAGACCCCAATTTACCACCTACTGAGATCCTTTTTCTGTGACCAGTTTCGGGCTTCCTGTGCAATGACTCAGGTTCTCAGCCCTTAGCAGAGACTTCAGTGAAGAACTGGGAGGGACAATAAAGCCAGAACCAACCAGGTGACAGAAACTCAAGGTTTCTTAAGATTTTCACAGAAGCCACCATAGATATGTTGTCAGTGGACTCTTCTTAGAAATGTAGAAATCTGACCGCTGAAAGTCAGTCAACTAAATAACATTTGAAGAATCTGGGTGTTCAGGCTCTTTTTTTAAAAGAAATTTAGGAAAATGAAAGAAATAATTGTTGAGGTGAGAAGACTTGAAGGCAAGCAATAAAAGAGAGATGATGATCAAGCACACACTCGGTTCTGTACTTGCACAATACTTCTAATGCCAAGTTTGTGGGTTTTTTCACACCCAGCAATTCTAAAGTTTTCTTGACACTAGCTGGGTGTTTGACAATTCAGTTCTGTCCAAACCACACCCAGGAAAGAGGGTATAGATGCTACCTTTCTATAGGAGAAATGTCAGAGAATCTTATAACCATCCTGTTTAAAACACTGCATTGTGGTAATTGGGTAGAGTTGGGGTCCCCATTGAGGTGGGAACCCACAAGGAAAAGCAGAGTGGATTAGTTTTCTAGGGCTGCCATAACACCATAGATTGAGTGGCTTAAATAATAGAAATCACATTTCTCACAGTTCTGGAGGTTGGAAGTGTAAGATCAAGATATCAGCAGGGTTTGTTTCTCCTTAAGACCCTCTCCTTGATGTCTGTCCCCTCTCTCTGTCCTCTCATGGACTTTCCTCTGTGTTTGCCCTTCCCTGGTATCTTTCTTCTCATAAGGACCTCACTTATGTTGGATCAGGGCCCCACCCTTATGACTTTTTAGCTGTAACTACCTTTAAAGACCCTATGTCTGAATAGTCACACTTTGAGGTGTTGGGAATTAGGTCTACAACATAAGAATAGGGGTGAAGTGGGACCCAATTTATGCCATAACACAGACCTATGGAAAGATGATGAACGAAAATGATAGAAACTGGTCTGAAGAGACAGATGAAGCCAAAATTACATGTCTGGAGTTTAAGAGCAAAGTCAGGGATTTAGAGATTATTGACTGAACTACAGTACAAACATTAAGCATGGAGAGGTCCACAAAGAGAGAATGTAAAATAGAAGATAGTCTTTCCTCTATTTGCTGGGATACAGATAATATTTATTGCACAGGAATTCATGCTAAGTGCTTTGCATCAATTATCTTGTTTGTTCTGCTCAAAAAATAAGGCTTCAGTAAATACTGACTCTCAAGTCACAGGTGAGTATTTGAGACCCAGGTGAGTTAAATTAAGGGTCACATCTAGCCTACCACCTGTTTTGTAAGGCCTGTGAACCAATAATGGTTTTTTTTTAAAACTGGCTGAAGAAAATCAACAGAAGAATATTTTATGACATGTAAAAATCATACAAAATCTAATTGCTATGTCATTAAATAAAGTTTTCTTAGCACACTTGCCATTTGTATACTACCCATGGCTATACTCATGTTATAAAGTAGTGTTGAATATCTATGCTGGAGACCCTACAGCCTGACAAATGTGAACTAGTGATTATCTGGCCATCAGCAAAAAATGCTGACTCTTGGTTAAATGGCTTTTCTGGTCCTATAACTAGTGACCATCAAACCCAGATGCCAGCCCAGACACTAAATGAGAGCTTTCACTGTACACAGAGCCCACTTCAGACAGTTCAGAAGCTAACAGGACTGGAAATTTGTGCAGCTCAGGCAGGAATTTCCCCATACACCTATCTTAACCCAATGCCACTTCCCTTGGACTTTGCCTAGATGATGCAATGGGGTCATGCAGAGCAGAAGTCCACTTCAGACGTTCCTTCTTTTCCTCACCCTAAGAACTTGCCCTACATACATTTGCCTCTGAATTTTCACAGATTCTGGTGTGCTAATCATGGGCTGTTTGGTAGCAGAGAACAAAGTCAGCTCATGCTTCAGTAAGGGTGGGAGCTTATGGGCAACAGGCATGGATGTCCCTAAAGCCCAGCTTCCAGAAGAAGTGTCAGACTTCAAATGATTTCAAAATCTGTTCTGCTGTTACTTTCTGTGGAGTCCCTTGTCTGTTATTTTCTCATGGCTTCTGGGCCCTTCTCCTCTATGTACAATGGCTATGTACAAATGGCTGCCCCTTGCCATTCTCTTCACTTTAATTCCCCTGTGAGATTTTTAGTTTCGTTGTAACTCTTGGACACATTCATTCTCACAACCCTTCCTCCCTTGGGAAACTTCTGAAATGCATGTGTTATGTGTGATCACAAAGAAATTTTTAAAAAATAAGAATCTGAACATATCCCATTTATGATTAAATATCTTTAGGTATGCCCTACTTCGTCCCCAGGCTTCTGGCTTGGGTCATTGTAATGTGAACTCAGGAGCTATGACAGCTATATCAGCTATCTCACTGCTAGGAAGAAATCTGTGATATTGAGTATGATAAAGTGGAAAGGTTAAAATAAGCATGGCTTGCTGATAGAATTTAATCTAGTATTACCTGCCTCCAAAATTCTTGTAAAGTAAGCCATAAATGTTGCCATTGGTTTAAGCCATTATTATGTATAATCACAAATGATATGTAATATTTTATTATTGTATTGTATTGTATTACTGTATTTATTCTATTGTATTATTTTATTATTGTAAATGAAAATACTCTGATTAGAACAAGCCATTGAAAAGGATGTTTTGAGGATAACTATCCTTATCTTTCCTTTTCCTTACTCTTGTAGTGTGGGGGTTTGAACTCAGAGCCTTGTGCTTACTAGGCAGGCACTTTACTACTTGAGCCACCGAGCTTTTCCCATGTTTCTCTACATCACTCTGAAACTTTAGATGATACTTAGAATTTTAGAAAGACTGACACCTTGTTTTTTTTTTTTTATGAGAGTGGTCTTTTTTTTAAATTTTTTTTTATTTTTCTTTTATTATTCATATGTGCATACAAGGCTTGGTTCATTTCTCCCCCCTGCCCCCACCCCCTCCCTTACCACCCACTCCACCCCCCTCCCTCTCCCCCGCCTCAATACCCAGCAGAAACTATTTTGCCCTTATCTCTAATTTTGTTGTAGAGAGAGTATAAGCAATAATAGGAAGGAACAAGGGTTTTTGCTGGTTGAGATAAGGATAGCTATACAGGGCATTGACTCACATTGATTTCCTGTGCATGGGTGTTACCTTCTAGGTTAATTCTTTTTGATCTAACCTTTTCTCTAGTACCTGGTCCCCTTTTCCTATTGGCCAAGACTGACACCTTGTTGGTCTAGAAGTTCATTAATGAGCTTGCAAAGGGATGGGGCATTATGGGATTAATCTTGAGAATAGTCGTTGTATAGAGAATGCTTGATCCTTTCCAATCGTGTGAACTTCTCTGCTTCATTTTCCCTTCTCTATGTTTCTGGTTCTCATCTTTATTTCTGCCTTTATTGTTCACCACACATTCTTCTTGCCTCAAAATTTGCTTTTTTCTTTATGTGGAGAAGGTGCCTGGATACACTGATTCCTTGACCTATGATGTGAAGATAATTGAACTTCTGCATCCCAGAGGATTGAAGCTGAAGAAGACATTTAGGCACTTGAGTTTCTAAAAGGGCCCAGCCCACTCCTCAAATGCAGTATATTCTAGAGGTCATTGTGAATCACAGGGAACCCTTGTTTCCTGTTACCCAATCGGTTTCACTTCCCTTATGCCTCCCATAACCCCTTCATATAACTTCTGCTGAGACTATTAGAGTCAGTATCATTCTGCCCAAAAGATCAGTGCTCAGAATTATCCAGAGCAAGGACCACAGCTGGTGTAACCTCCAGGTAAGAAACCTATTCCTGGGAACTTGGATGCTTGATAAGAATGTAGTCAGCTTTAAGGATAAATCAGAAGGATCAAAATTATTAGTATGAATTGTAGGGGAATGAGTGTGATAGGAAAAGTGTAGCCTTCCAGAGCAGTGATGATTCTCCACATGAAATTTGTCCTGGATATTACAAGGGATCCATGACCAGCTGAAAGCTTTTCTTCCTCAAGAATTGGAAACATGTCACTTCTCTCAAAATCCAGGTATCTTCTCCCATTTCCCATTGATGATGTTTGGTCAATAGTGAGCTCATGGAGATCCGAAGAAGGTGAGGATTTGCTACAATGATTGGCAGATAGAAGGGGCTCAAAAATGGTAGCCATCTTGGTTCGTGTTCATTGCAAATCACAGTTTTTGTCCTTTGAACCATGGTGGTGTCATATTTTACAGCTTTTTTGCTTTTGCATATCCTATCCTGTCATTATATAATCTTCCTTATTCATTGTGCAAAACTTTTCAATGTTTGCCTCAGATGTTCTTGAAGACAGTCCTCAGCCCATCTTGGTGGTTGGAAGGTAACAGGGAGGGAGAGAGGCATCTCTAAGTTGTTTTTGAGACTGCAGAGCATTGAGATTCAGTAGATATGTGAATCACATTTGTGATTTTAAATTATACAGTAGGCACTTAAAAAAGTAGAAAGAAGCAAGTGAAGCTAATTTTAATACATGCTTTTATTTAATAATTATATAACTTCTTATAGCCAAATAATTATCATTTCAACATACATTGATGTAGAAAGTATTACTGAGATATTGCATGTTACTTTTTTCATATTAAATTTTTCAACAATGATAGAGATTTTGCTCTTACAGCCCATCTCAAGTTGGACTAGCCAAGGTACAAGTGCATGAAGTCCCTGGTGATGAACAGTTACTGTTTGAGGCAGTCTGCCTCTAGAGGTGTTATGGGAGGGCAGGGTCAGAAAGAGATAATGTTGGAGTCTGACAGACAATTAACTTAAAAGCTGTAAATCTGTTTCCTTGCATACACAAGCAGCATAATAGTAAACTAAAACCCTAACATTATTCAGTACATGCTATGTGTCTATCACTGACTCATGCCTGATGCTATTGACTCATTCACAAAAACCATTTGAGGAAGCTGCTGCAAAGATAAGAGGAGGAAAGCCCTTAACACAGGTCTTTATGTACTTTGTGTGTCTAATCTCAGGAAATCTCACACCCAGCATGTGCTTTAACCATTTCTTCTCTCATGTGCTTCCTCAACCCTGAGAGCACTGAGCCCATCCAGTGGGCAGAAGAAAGCATCCTATCCATTTGCAAGATAACTGTGAGACAAGAGTGGAAATGGGATCCCCTGTTCCAACTCCCTGTATAACACGGAATCTATAGGTGTGAATCTTGATGGCACACTCACTTGTGCCTTGCCTCCCAGAGTGGCAGAGGTGTGCCTCACCACACACCGAGCTTGCTTCATTCCTTTTTATGACTGCACAGCCCACATTTTGCTTATCTGTTTTTCTGTCAATGGTCACTTGGGTTGTTTCCATCTCCTGGCTATTATGACCAATGCTACTATAAACATTTTGTTCAAACACCGGTTTTCTCTATATAGTTTTTTGCTCAATATTTTTCTCTTGCAGGACAAGAATCTTCTTTAGCTAAGTAATCTGCCTGGCAGGTGACTTGCATATTAGCGATTGTAGGAAAACACACAATGTATTTTTGCACATCTGATGTGAGTTTGACAGTTTGCAGATGTGGGTAGATAGGAGGGACAGTGGTGAGCTTGTTGTAGCTGGTGTGGGAACTCTATGGTAGGGTGACTAGGAAAACTGGTGGCTACATAAATGAAGTTCCAGGTGAGCCTGCCTACAGGTCCATATCTAAAAAGTGACCATTGCTGATGTTCTTTCCAGGTGTGGACAAGATGGAGACCAATTCCTCTTTTCCCATGAATGTGACTACAGGAACCCAGGCTGTCCCTGCTGGCTACATTGTCCTGGATGTCTTCTCTTATTTGATCCTCGTCGTTACCTTTGTCCTCGGTGTGCTAGGCAATGGGCTTGTGATCTGGGTGGCCGGCTTCCGCATGACACGCACAGTCACCACCATCTGTTACCTGAACCTGGCCTTAGCTGATTTCTCTTTCACCTCCACTTTGCCATTCCTCACGGTCACCAGAGCCATGGGAGGACATTGGCCTTTTGGTTGGTTCATGTGCAAGTTCATTTTTACCATAGTGGACATAAACCTGTTTGGAAGTGTCTTCCTGATTTCTCTCATTGCTTTGGACCGCTGTATTTGTGTCCTGCATCCAGTCTGGGCCCAGAACCACCGCACTGTAAGCCTGGCCCGGAAGGTGATCATTTGTCCATGGATTTGTGCTTTCCTCCTTACTTTACCAGTTATCATTCGTGTGACTACAATGACAAATATCCATGGCACAGGGAAAACAGCCTGCACTTTTGACTTCTCACCTTGGACCAAAGACCCTAAAGAGAGGCTTGAAATTGCTATCACCATGCTAATAGTCAGAGGAATCATCCGATTTATTATTGGCTTCAGCACACCTATGTCAATTGTTGCTATCTGCTATGGTCTTATCGCTACCAAGATGCACAAGCAAGGCCTGCTCAAATCCAACCGTCCCTTACGGGTCCTGTCTTTTGTTGTAGCTGCGTTTTTAATCTGTTGGTGCCCATATCAGGTAGTGGCCCTCATAGCCACAATCAGGGTCCGTGAACTCTTGGTTGGCCTAGGGAAAGACCTTCGAGTTGTTGTGGATCTGACAGGCTCCCTAGCCTTTTTCAACAGCTGCCTCAACCCAATGCTCTACGTCTTCATGGGCCGGGACTTCCGAGAGAGATTGATCCACTCTCTGCCAGCCAGTTTGGAGAGGGCCCTGAGTGAGGAATCAGCTCAGACCACTGACACAGGAAACAGTTCTGCTTCACGTCCAGCAGAGGCTGAGTTACAGGCAATGTGAGGATGGAGCTGGGGGTACTTTTGAGCTCCCACTTCCAGCTTCATCTGCCTTGAGTTACACTTGTGCTGCAGGCATTCACTGCTGATCTTAGGGTCGGCCACTCATCGGGAAAAATTCTCTGTACACTCTGATTTGGGGAAGAGAAATAGGCATGAGAGTTTTATTGATGTCTGTTTTGATTTTTGGACCTCAGCCCATGATGGTAAGTGGTGAAAAAAGATAAGTAGATCATGCATCCTTGTTAGCTTGAAACAATCCTGAATGATAGTTATTACTCTAGCATTACTATGAATAATGTCTGTGTCCATTTTCAACAGTGTCGTGTTGTGGACAAGAAGTATATGGCCACCCTAGAAAAATGAAGGAGGGAGAGGCATCGCGTAATGTGACAAGGCATTGCTTAAATTAGGAGATATAAAAAGTACTTTCTTATTTTTTATTCTCTCTTTTTTACATAGTGTATATTACTTGTACAAAGGGGTTTTGTTGTGATATTCCCATACACGCATATAATGTATTTTGATCAAATTCACCCCCTATTACTGTTTCTGATGCCTCCTCCCCGCTGAAAGGAGACACTCAGCCTTTATTGTCAGTAAGTAAAACTATAAAGTCATGAAGATATCACCTGAAGAGGACTGAGAATGTAACTTGGTGATAGAGTGCTTGCAGAGAATGCACAAGGCCCTAGGTTCATCCACCAGAACTGCCCTCCCCTGACCGAAACAGGCAAATAGATATCACCCAAAGATACTTAGTCCTCTGAACTACTCTTGCACTTGCCTAATCCCTTGTGTTATGAACTTAGGGAAATCGATTACAGGGCCCATGTTTTTACTTGTGGCTCTGAGTCTGGCTTCAGCTGAATTATCTAGTTCATATAGTATCTGGTGCTTGCTGTCCTTTTTCCAAATGGAGTTAACCCAGAATGGAACTCAGACATTTACTTCACTATCCTTAAAAGCCACTTGCACAAAGTTTTTCAGTGGGGAACACACTTTACAGAATGGGTATGTGCAGTGGCTAGCCACATATGAATGTGAAAGTGTCTACTTCAACTTTTGACACCTTTGTTCTTGGAAATCTGTCTCCCTTCTATCTCCTCACCTCCATATTTCTGCAGTTTTTACAGTTTGAACACCTTTGCCCCTCATCCCCTTGACTCTTTGACTTCCTGTCCCTCAGTCTCCTTTTCTACCCAAGATAATTATCAATGACAGCATCGTCCTCAAGATGATAACTGGCACCACCTCTTAAAGGAATCATTTAAACATCAATCACCACAGTCAGCATCTTGCTATTACAAGAAAGAGAATAGAAAAAGGAGGAAGAACAATGGTCAAGGGAAGAGGGGTGGTGGAGAAGCCTAGGAGAGCCTAGAGTCAACAGATACCAAGACATGCACTTGGTGAGGGCCTGGATGGTAGTGGCTGGCTTCATTCTAGTTCAAGGGGAGAGTCCTAGGTTTTGACTCTCTCAACTTCCCATGATGACTTATCTGGACTCCCATGGTGAACCTTTTCGTACAACCCCAATAAACTCTCCAAGCTTTGCATTACATCATCCAGTGCATTTATCTAATCCATCACTCACCCCTGAGTTTCTAGAGGGCATCATGTGTTCCTTATCTTCCCTCTGCACACAAAAGTCTTCAATAAATGGTGGTTTAATTAAACTTCTTGATTCTGTACCTCTTTTATAATTACCTAGAGATTGGCATATCCAGGAACTCTTGAGATCACCAACCCCCTGAAGTCAGCCAACTTTTTCTTCCTATTTTGACATGTGGGGAAATCAAGACCAGGAACATCATCCAATATGCTGGTATTCACAACAAAGTTAGAGGACACAGTCCTCACACAAGACTGTCCTCACTTTAGACACCAACTGCAAGTTTGGAAGATTTCCTCAAATACCCTCAGGTTTGATAACTAACTAGAAAGACTCAGAGAGAATGAAGCAAACAATCCTAATGAAGAAGTGAAAGACACTGATGGAGTCCCAGATTTCCAGGAGCAGAGAAAAGCCACTTGATAATATTCAGATCTTCTAAGGGTTGAATGTACTCCCTGCATAGATTTAAGGTTGGCTTCTTTGTATTGCTGGCTATGGTGGGACATACCTGTAATCCTGGAACTTGAGAAGTGGAGGCAGGACAATACCGACTTCAAGGCCAGCCTGGACTACATAGGATGACCCTGTCACAAAATAAAGTATAATAAAACAAAACAACAACAAACAGAATATAGGCTCTTCCATCACACTGCCTAGGTTAGAATCCTGACTCCTGATTTTACTTCTTATGAACTATGATTTGAGGCAATCGAGATGGCACATTAAAATTATTTAATTGAAGAATTAAGTGAAAGTACAAGTAAGCTTAAGGGAGTTGATGAGGGATGGTGATATACCCAGTGACTACCAATGTTTGTACCTGTCACTGCTGTAACAAATAAACAAACTTGATGACTTAACACCATAAGAATTTCATTATCTTGTATTGAAATATATCTCACTGGTGTAGGAACAAGGCACAACAAAATGCATGGAAAACTGTTGAACAATATAGGGTAGGGGGCAAAGGATAAGGGATAGTAATAGAGGAGGTTAGACTGTTTAAAATACAATATATTTACAGGCAAAATTCCAAGGCAGAACCTCATTAAACAATGAACAGACACTTAAACAATGAAGAACAGGAATGCAAAACAGGTCATGTTGAAGGGAGGGCAATAGTGGAAGAGGGAGAGAAATGAAGTTAAAGGAGGGTGAAAATGGTTGATAGATTTTCTGCACATGTATGAACATGGAACATTGAGACCTTTTGAAGGCAATTTAAGGAGGGGGAGGAGGAAGAGGGAGAATAATGGAGGAGATGAACCAACCCGGGTACGTTATATGGATATATGGAAATGTCACAATAAAATCCCCTGTACAACTAATATATGTTACTAAAAATGTTTTAAAAATCATTAAAGTGACTTTAATTAAGTCACTTTATTTAATTGTTTAATTAAATTTAATTATTTGATAAATAAATGTTTTTAAAAGAATTTATTGTCTTCAAGTTCTGGAGATCAGAAGTCTGAAATTGGTTTTATAGCACTAACTCAAGTATTAAGAGGGCCTGTAGGAGAGGATCTATTTTCTTTTCTTTTCCAGCTTCCAGAGGCTGCCCATTTTCCTTGACTTATGGCCCCTTTCTCCAGTGGCATAGCACCTCTGAATCTCTTTCATATTCAGACTCCCTTGCCTATTTCTTTCACTGATAAGATTGCATTGGTTCCACTGGGACTATCCAAAATAATCTCTCTATCTAAGATCCTAAGTTTTCTGACATATACAAAATTCTTTTTGGCATGTAAGCCAACACATACACAGGTTCCAGGGGTGCCTAACAGAAAACCTAAGAAGACAGAAAGAGAAATGGTTTCCAGAAACCAGAAAGAGAGGTTGGCAGTGAGGAAAGGAGACACCCAATAACAAAAGTTGGCCCACTTGAGGGCCTTGTGGTGGAGGTGGTAACATATGTCACACCTCAATCTTTTCTCTTTCTGTGTACAGTTGACCAAAACCTAACTGGAAGCCAAGACATAAAGAATCCCACCAATTCAGTCCCTAGAGGTATTTATACCTAATTCAAAGGCAAGGATGTGAGAAAATACCAGTTAAGCATTTAACATGGTGTTGGGACATAATATAAACTCAATAAATATCAGCTAGTTTTAATTAAGTAGATAATAGCAGTCTCTTTTGAGTCTATGCCTTCTCCCAGGGTAACTACATCTATACCCAAAACTTCAACCATTAACTCTGCAAGTCTCTCCCTCTCTCCCCCTACACCAGAATTCTCTTTCTTTTGGGACCCAGATCTTTGTTAGGGACTATTGAGATATAATTTACATATCACAAATGTGCCCATTTTAAGTGTACAATTCAATGATTTACATAAACAGTGTGAAACCATTACAATAATCCACTTTTGGAACATTTCCACCACCTCAAAGAAACCCCTCATGGCCACTCCTCAATGCCCATTTGTGATGGTTTGGATATAAAATGGCCCCAAAGGCTCAAGTGTTGAAGGCTTGGTCCCAGCAGGTGGTGATATTGAGAGGTGATTGGATCATGAGGATGCTAACATGATCAATGAACTAATCCATTGATGAAGTAATAGCTGAATGGGCTATCAGAGATGGGGTCTGGGAGGAGGAAGTAGACCACTGTGGGGGCATGTCTTTAAAGGGTATATCTTGTCCCTGACCCCTTACTCTCTCTTTCTCTCTCTCTCTCTCTTCCTGGCTACCATAAGGCAAGCATCACTGCTCTTCCACATGCTCTTCACCATGACGTTCTGCCTCTCGAAAAGCTCAGAAACAATGGAGCCAAGTGACCACAGATTAAAACCTCTGAAACTATAAGGCTAAATAAATATTCCTAAAATTCAACAATTTTCTTAAATTGTTTGTTAAAATTGTATTTTGGTACAGTGACAAAAAGTGATGAACATAGAAACCATTTTTACCTGCTGACTCCATGGAATCACCAATAACTTCTGGCCTCTGTAGATTTGTCTACTATGGGCATTCCCTGTAAATAAGATCTTATGATATGTGGTCTTTTGTATCTGGCTCCTTTAACTAAGCATCTTTTTGAGACATATACTTGTTGCAGCTGGTATAAGTATTTTGTCCCTTTCTGTTGCTGAATAGTATCCCAGTGATGGATACTCCATATTTTGTGTTTTTGTTCAATAATTCAGTCCTAGATTTATTACCTTATTGCTTCATGGACACTATGCCCACTTCAGATCCCACCAAGTACCTCGCTCCCATGGTAACACAGAGTTCATCACTCCTTAGCCCACGGCACCCCAAACCATGACTTCTTCATTATCTCAAACATCTTACCTGTGAGATTTTACCTCACACAAGTGGCTGTGTGATGATGTGGAGAAGTTAATTTATTACTCAGAGGAGGGGGACGCACTTTGCTGTGCAGGAAAAAAGGAGAAACACCAAATTTGGTGAAGAGACAGATGCAGATACAGTAAATTAGCAAGTAAAATACCAAGGCAAAATCCCACTGAACAATGAACAGACACTTAAACAATAAAGAACGGGAATGTAAAACAGGTCATGTTAAGGGGAGGGTACTAGTAAGAGGGGGAGGGTAAATGAAGAGGATAAAGGAGGGTGAATATGATTGTTAAATGTTCCACACAAGTATGAATATGGAACATTGAAATCTGTTGAGGTTATTTTAAGAAGGGGGAGGAAGAAGAGGGTGGATAATGGAGGGGATGGACCAAATTGGGGCACACTGTACAAATATTTGAAAATGTCATAATGAAAACCCCTATACAACTATTATGTACTAATAAAACCTTTTAAAACTAAAGCAGGGGTGAAGGGAAAGCCTAGGATAGAACATTTATTGGAGTTTCCATGAGAAGGTAATGCAAGACAGAGTAATCAGTTTAGGATTGGCTAGTTTGTGTAGTTTCAGCAGGGTCTAGGTTATAGAGACAGCCTCTAGTCATCTGGTACCTGTTCTCAGGAGCTTTAGGGCAGGGGAAAGTACTTACTTGGTGTGTAAGAGTTCAGTAAAAAAGGCAGCTAGGAGATGTGGCCTCAAGATTGGCAGGTTCATATAGGAAAGGTGTATTTTTGTCAAGTTGTTATTACCTTTAGGAATTTAACTAGTCCTGGTAGAAGTAGTCTCTCCTTTAATATGTAAGATCAAGGTAGGATTGGAGAATTGAGCCACTCATTCCATTCCCAAATCTCCAGATAGAGGAAAAG